GCTGCCGACGACGTGTGAGCTCCTCCTCTCAAGCCGCAACATAATTCATGTGGCCCTAAAATTGATTTTTTAGATGTCATTTATTAGAAACTCTTGATGATCTTTTTTTCCTCCCTAAATCTTTTTAGGAGTTGCCAAACTATAAGTTTTTAGAAGAAAAAAGTAGAAAACTCTTGGAGATGCTCTAACATCCTGTATGGTGTAGAGTTGCCAAAAAAAAATCCATAAAAAGAAAACATTGTTAGTAACATGTTTCTGAGCCCCATGACAACCTAAATTTTTTCAGTGTCAATGGAAAGACGATTGATATGACTGAAGATCATCGAGTAGCTAGTGCAACTGAAAGAGCTAGGATAGCAAGAACTGGGCAGCCCCTGAAAGATGGGGAAGTTCGTCTTAATGGTATGATATTTTGCTCCGTTTCCATTGAATTCTTTTCCCATTTACGGTGGAGGCGTAATCAATGTTGGTTGTTTCGACAGGACTAAATCTTGCTAGGATGTTTGGAGACAAGTTTCTTAAGGAGCAAGACTCACGCTTCAGCTCAGAACCATATGTGAGCCAAGCTGTTCGTATCACGCCAAAGAATGCACCGCTTTTGCCATTATTGCTAGGTAACTTGTGTTTTCCTAATGCTAGCAAGGTAATGCTACTGTTATAACGCAACCATCTGCTGACTAGTCAGGTTTTTTTTTATATGATATACGCAGTGATGGGCTCTGGGATGTCATCAGCACTAAAAAGGCGGCACAGCTTGTTGTTGAGGTAAAAGATCTTACGACTGTTTTTTCCTGTCATTGTTCTGCAGCTGCAGTAGTCTTTATCGTTGCTTGCCTTCACATTTCACAATGTGCAGGGAAAGGAGAGGAACTCTGGTGACAGCACCTCAGCGGCTAAAGTAGCCAACCGTGTATTGAACGAAGCTAGGAATTTGCGAACCATGGACAACACATCCGTGATATTTGTAGATTTTGACATTCTGATCGAGAACAGACCTATGTATCGCCAAATGACATGTCAGATTCGAGACCACCACCTTCTCTCCATGAATCATCTTCCTGGCTGCTTATAGCTCCCACGTTTTGCTCCACCCGTTCTGTTTCTTAGTGAGATGTGATGTGTTCGCATGAACCGCCCAGAAATCATCTGTAAATTGGTAGAGGAGCAGAGTGCATACCGTGTTGTAATCTGGTGCATGCTTTTAGAGTCTATCTACTATATATATACATATGCTTTCTGCTCGGAGGCAACCATAATAACAAGGAATAAACCCAGCTTGTATGCCAACCAGCCTAGCAGATAATGCTTTGTTGACCTGCATGAATATCACATCACTTTTACCTTGCTGTAGAATGTGCATCCAAATTGAAGTCCAACTGCAAGATGGTGGCAAGCAAAAACTGCCTGACGACAGAAATGGAACGCATGCAGTCCAGTTGCTTGGTTTCAGTTTGTGCACATGTTGGTTGGGGCTCAGAAGGCACCAATTGCCTGCCTGACAGAAATGGAATGCTGTGGAAACAAATGCTGCCAAGGGGAGGGGAGGGGTAGTAGAATCTAGTGGTGCACCCCTGTATCCCCAGGATGGAAGGATGAGAGGGTGGAAACAAGTCCTTGTCCTTTTACTCCTTTGTGCAGCCCCAGAATTAGGGCCTCGCACGTTCCCAGGAGCAGCTGTAGCTGTGGTGCACATCAATCCCCTTTCCTCTCAAGGGAAAGGCACTGCAAGTTGTTGGAACTACATTGGTAGTACGTAGTCATAGTAGGGGATGGGCTTTCCCTGCAAGATCGTTAAGAAAAGTAGAAAACGATGCCAGACCTTGCAAAAGGTGTCTCAAAGACAATATCTTATAAGCCGTATTTTTTCAGCCAACGAATAGTATTTTTCTCTCACAACAAATCAATCAACAATACTTTCAGTCATATCTTATCAGCCAGGTGAACAGACCACAGCTTGGTTGATATATCACCACAACAGAGCCATGCATTGGGTACAATAAACATCCGTACTATTGCAAAGAAACATCAAACATCACTGCCCCAGTGCTATTCGAGAAGCCATATAGTTATGAAAAATACGGCCCGTCAGACCTCCACGTTTGTGTTTGAGGTCTGCCAATGAATGTCCACTTGACGATAGAAGATCATCTTTTGCCCGTAGCGCATGTCCACCAGTTTTCAAAACTAATCTGTCCCCCAATATCTATATATATAATTTGAGAATCACGAAGTACAACGTAGACGTCCAAAATACACACGCACACTCACCCCCTATAGATACACGTACATAAACTATATCCCTACGAGCACCTCCGAAGAGGCGCCTCGTTGTTAATGGAGACGTCGCTTACCATTGAAAGCATAGCACCGTTAAATCCTAGAATAAATCCAGAAAGAATAAATCCAGAAAAAGGAACCCCATCAACTAATCTATGATCAGTTCGCCAATATCTATATACTCCCTTCGGTTCTCTAAAGCAAGCGAGGTCAGGTCTTCAACCCGCGATGACCAGATTCCATAAAATATTTAGGAACCCCATCAACTAATCTATGAAATCAGAATCTTACGTCACCAATATCAAACTCAACCCAAAAGAAGTTATTTATATAAAATGTTTGGGTAAAGCTTGTTTTAGAGAGAACCGGAGGGAGTATTGGGGTAGCTTAATAATATTGTTTTTCTGAATATTAGAAGAGTTGGTTCAGCAGTGCCCCAATGTATCCCTCCTAATACCTACACAAAAGATGGACCCATAGGTGTGTAATAAAAAAAATAGCTAAAAAGTGATGGTTGGAATGTGCCTCATGCTATTAGGAGAGATATAACTCTCCCTTTATTTGAGGGGTGATAAGAAAAATTGGTGACCACAAAAACCTTTATTTGAGGGGTGATAAGAAAAATTGGTGACCACAAAAAAGAAGACTGCTAAAACAAGAAAAAAGCACCATAGCCCCTAGTTATAAGGATATGAAGAGGTATTATGGCTGCTCGATATGCTTTATCTCGTTCCATTCTCCTTTTGTTCACTTGGACCCCGAAGAGAAACTCCATCAGATTGAGAAAAGAGACCCCATTTCCCTATATTCTTACAAAAAAGGGATTGAGGTGCAAAAACACAGCTCCAGTAAATCTATTTTTTTCAACCGCACCGAGCTCCGCTTGGCAGACGAGCAGTTGCCGCAGACCTATGCCGGTCAGGCTACCACAGCCCACAACTTTGCACTGGGCAGACCGCCGCTACCGCAGCCCCGCGCTGGGCAGGCGAGCCCTACGCCTGTCAGGCGGCTACCACAGCCCACAGGTTTGTGCTGGGCAGGCCACCGCTGATGCATGCCTTTCGAAATTGTCCAGAGTTTTTTTTATGTTATTTTCATTGCAAAATGATGGATCTCTTTCCGTAACTTTCCAATTACGAGTACGAGAATTGAAAGAATTCTCAAAGCCTAGGAGATAGAAGGGAACAAGAAAAAGAGAATTTTTTTGTCACTAATTCCGCGTCTAGATGGATCCTATGTATTAAGGGGATGAAGGTTAGATGGATCCTATGTATTAAGGGGATGAAGGTTCGGGATAGTTTTGTAGAGCTCCTCCTGCTCTAGAATCTTTATGAAAGTTGATATAGCTTGTTCGCTGGTTGGTTTTTAGGCTGATAAGTTCGGTTAGTGTTGGATTTGTTGTGAGAGAAAAATATTATACTATGGATGATAAATTCTGGCTGAAACCAACAAATGAACAGGCTGTATGTGTGAAGTGATTCTCTTATTGAAATTGATTCTCTAGGATAAACACTATGCATACTGTGATTCTGGGCATGAAGTGAATTAGGATAAGTCATTTTTTTCACCTCTCAACCTCTTAGTTTATTTAAGAGAATCACTTTATAGAATCAACGAAGAATCACTCCTCAATAAAAAATTGTTTGACAGAGCTTCTTCTATATTCAATCTGGAAACTAGTCCAGAAGCTTTGCCAAACTGGTATGTTAGAACACATGTCTCCTGTATTTTAGAATTCAAAACTTCTTAATCTTTTAAAGTAGATTTTTTTAAAAAAAAAAAAGAGATCTAGTGAAGTTGCTCGGCTGAACCCATCCGCCCTCCTCGACTCTGTTTGCTTGAGTTTATCATTCAGAATCAACTCTATTTTTCAGCTATAAAAATAATATTTTTCTCTCACAACAAATCAGTCACAACAGCAATAAGGGCCTCTTTGGCAGGGCTCCTGCAGGGGCTTCAGCTCCGGCTCCTGCAGGAGCTGTGCCAAACGCCTGTTTTGGAAAAGGCTCTCCGCATGGGGAGGCGGTCAAGAGTCGGAGCCATTTTTGCCTGCGCAGGAGAAGCCTAAAAAACGAGCTTCGCGCGGCTCCTTATGTGGGTTCACGTCGTCTAATGCGAAGGAGCTGTTTTGCCAAACGTTTTCCAAAACGGCTTCAGCTCCTCCAAAAGAGCTAATTCTTCAGAGAAGCCAGAGCCAGAGCTATTTTCAGAGAGTGCCCTGCCAGACAGGCCCTGGATGCAGCTGAACAGGCCCTCGTTTTGGCGTTCGTCGCATCCCCGTCTCTAGAATTCCCAAAAAAGAATGGGGGTAGAACGGTCATTTGGTGGGGGCAGGCATTGAATGCCGACTACCGACATTTGGGATGCGACAACGGACCCAACCAAATAAATCCTGTCACATGTACTACTACTCCCTACTCGATCCGTCTACCTCCTCGATATCGATCGCTGGTCGCTCGTTTTTGCTACAACTACAAATCTACAATGGCTGCACCCCACTCCACGTGCCCTCGCGATCAGGTGCATGAGTTCGCGCGCGCGCGGAGCCGGCCGTCTGGTGCCCAGCCACCAGTCAACGACACACTGCGTCACTCACTGCCTTCCCCTCCTCCTCAAATTAAGCCTCAAACCCTCACCAACTCACATCGCAGTCTCGCTCGATCTAGCTCAGATCACTGAACGAATCGAAGCAGCACACAGCAGCAGGTAGCCACATCCCAGCCATGGCGACGGCCGGCGGCGGAGGCGAGGCCGTGCAGAAGGTGCTGCAGTCGGTGGCGCAGAGCACGGGGTGGACGTACAGCCTCCTCTGGCACCTCTGCCCGCGCCAAGGGTACGCTTCTTTCTTGCTTCTTGCTCGACCGTCCCTTCGACCGTGCTGTCACCAGCCGAGATTTTTTTATCGATCTGATCTGATCATGCATGCATGGCGCTGTTGCCTGCGCAGCGCGCTGGTATGGGCGGAGGGCTACTACAACGGCGCCATCAGGACGCGCAAGACGACGGTGCATCAGCCGGGCGGGGAGGGCGCTGACGAGGAGGAGGAGACGACGGCGGGGGCGGGGGCCGGCCGGGCGGCGCTGCGCCGCAGCCGGCAGCTCAAGGAGCTCTACGACTCCCTGGCGGGGGAGGCGGCCGACGGTGGTCAAGGAGCGGGCGGAAGCAGGGACGGCGGCGGCGCGCAGCAGCAGGTGGTGCCGCATCGCCGGCCCACTGCGGCGCTGGCGCCCGAGGACCTCACGGAGACGGAGTGGTTCTACCTCATGTGCGCCTCCTACTGCTTCCCTCCTGCCGTCGGGTAACCTATATATAAAATATATTAGCTACATGTATTTGCAGTTTGCATGCTACCTCATCTACAGCAGAATGAAGCAGCAGAGCACAAGGAACGAACTTAAGATCTCGACGCGTAAGATGGAAAAACAGACCAGCTCTGCACAACAGCGTGAACCCAACCCAACGCTTAAATATTCCCACAACACACTGGGCGCCGACATATCTGGCCACTTGGGTCCTACTCTTCTTTTTTCAAATTATAAGATATTTTGGCTTTTCTAGATTTATAATTTTTGCTATACACTTAGATATACACTATGTCCAAAACTTTAGATACAACAATATGTCTAGAAAAATAAACGTCTTATAATTCAGAATTGATGGAGCAATGACTCATTAATTAACACCTGAGGCTGACCCTACATCCCAAGAGGCCTATAGAAAGGATCGGAGGCGTTGAAGGGAGTTGTCGGCCCATGGAATCAAGGAAGCGGGCAATGGAGGAGCGGCGTCCCCTAGCGCTGACCGCTGAGAGTTGGTTGATGGATGGCAGGAAGAACTCTGTTTCACCGCACAAAGGACTCTAAGAGGTCTCGAACCCCATCTCGCAGGATTGTATGGGCAGCGACCAGCCCCTGTGTTTCACACCTTTGAGAAGACAAGATGGTCTTCTGTTCCGCGAAGACATAGATACGAGTGACGGTGACGGGTGGAACAATTACTTCATTAACCATGAAAATATGCCCATGCACCATAACAAGGCATAGAGCATGTGGCGTGGGCATTGGACGATTTGTGTCTCAGAGATTTATTCGATGATCATATGCCATGCATTTGAATTAGTTTTGAAATCAAACTCTGCAGACAGCTAGTGTGCCTGGACATATACCGCTCTAACTCATATGAGTATGAGCAAGAGTGGCGAATAATGGAAACACTCCATATTCCAATTCATTTTGGAATCAGAATCTGCACCATGCTTGGACACCACTCTAACTTGTACAAGCACGGGAGAGACTAGATCCGTCGGATTACAAGGAACGGTTGAGCAATGTCAAGCGACTAAGAAACATTTCTTCCTCTTTATAATTTATAAGGTAGAAATTAAGTCTGTTTCAAATCAGTAGTCCATGTTGTTTCACAGGGGAGGAACCAAAGGTTCCTTCCAAGCACCATAACAAACCCTCTAAACATTATTGTCCTGGCGAGATAAATCTTACTAGCAAAACTATTATGCCCATCATAGAATATTACTGAAATATATGTTTTAGTTTTTTTGCGATGAAAAAATGTTTTAATTTACAAGGGAAAAAGCACTGACCTATGCTTCAAGAGTGACATTCTTTATTATCATATATGTCACCTCGCACTTTGTTTTCATTTCTTTCCAAATTAAATGATGCAAATTTATGATTCACACACTTGCAAAAGTGTGCTAGACAATTTCAAGAAAGCAATGCCTGTACTTTTGGTACTAAAAGATAATTATTATATTCACATTTTTTTGAACTATTACATACATAAACGACATTCGAACAGCTGTTCCTGTTTAGTTGCATTTCGAACCGTAGTTTTATGCACTCTAATCTCTTCATACTATTAGAACTCGTTTCTTAATTTGACATTCTTTTCAGGATTATATAGCTGATGCAGCAGGCATCAATAAATTATCAAATGGCAAGCACAGATATTTCATATAACAAACAGATAATGTTCTTTTTCGTTGTAACAAGAAAACCTTCCATATATAAGTCATATACATGTTTCATATTTCAGGTTGCCTGGGGAGGCATTTGTAAGGAGAGTTCATGTTTGGCTATGTGGGGCAAATAAAGTTGACAGCAAAGTGTTCTCAAGAGCAATTCTCGCTAGGGTACACATACCGTCTCCCTTCTTTTCCATCTTTTTTTTTAAAGAAAGATGTAGATCGTGGTATTGTCATGGTCATGGTAATAAAGGATGCAGGATATGTAGTCCTACTACAGCAGTACAGCATGACGAAAGATAAGCTTATGATTGTAGTTGAACTTTAAAAACATTATTTTCCTTTCAAGATATGAGCATGAAGCTCAAATTGTATATTGATTTCGAAAAGTCTTATTCCCTTCTTTGCCTCATGATAGAGAATTGAAGGTGCTAATTAATTCTCCTTTTACTACTCTTTTCATGTGGAGCATCACAAATATTTGTGGCAACAAATATCAGAGTGCAGGCATCCAGGTATTAAAATTCGCTTCTGAAACTACTTTTTAGTTTTTATTGTATATAAGCATTATCAATGTTTTGCCATTCAATATGAAAATAAATCACTTCTAGTTTTACAAATCTTCATTTGTAGTGAACTTATTCTATTTTCAATTAAGTTTCCAATATTTCAGCGCAATTGCACATGACTTCCACTAAATATTGAATCTCAGGCTTATGATCAATGCGCTTATGCGTTGACTTCAATCTTAATAATGCAGACAGTAGCATGCATTCCAGTCGACGATGGTGTCCTGGAAATTGGAACTACAGAGAAGGTCAGTGAGTTAATTATGCATTTCAGAAATTACAGCCGTTAACTGTTAATATTCTCCAAACTGACTAATAATTACATAAATTCAATTAATATTCTCAATAATGAAAGTAATAAACCAAGCATCAATTATATGGAGATGTCAGAAAACAATAGGATCTAAAAAAAAATCTATGAATACATTTCAGGTAGAAGAAGACATTTGTTTAATTCAATGTGCCAGGAGCATCTTCATGGATCAAATTGGCGCCCACATAGTGCCTACCCTCTCAGGCCATTCAACTTCCACCGCCCCAACCACACACATCAATCATCAGCCATTCCAGACAAAAATGGGAAACTGCATTGACATAAATGTGCAGAAAAATAGTCACAATTCAGGAGACGAGCACAATAACGAAATGGAAGATGATGACGACAGAATTGATTTATTAGAGACCAATACTGGAAATGATTCAAGCCGGCATTCGCCACAGGACACTAATAATGTAGGTTTAGGCAATGAGCAGGGAACGCTCAATGCAGGGAGCAGGAGCTGATGCTGATTGGGACGTCGGAAAGGGTAAGAGATGGTTATTCAAAGCAAGAGGATGAAGAGATCCCAGTGCTTATGGTTTGCCAGAACGCTAATCTGGCAGCGCAGGATGAATTTGGTCCGTGGCATGATTTTCTCGACGACGACGTAAGCAGTAAATACCTACAATCCTCAGGTAATTTGGACCTGTGTACATATTAATTTTAAATAATTTGGCAGCGCAGGGTGATTTTCTCGACGACGACGTAAGCAGTAAATAATTTTAAATTCCCTTTAGGAATTAAAATAAGGTACTATCTTAAACTGAACTAGTGCATACAAACCTCACTTCCTATTTTATTTACCCCGAGGGGTTAACCTAAAAGTGGTTTTTTGGATGGTTTTGTTAACGTGGCCGGGGGCCCTACATGTTAGGGGTCTCTCTTTCTCTATATATATATATATTAAAAAATCATTTTTTAATTTTTTATATGAAGTTGGATGAATTCAAAGTTTATGTCAAAATTATAGAGCTCAACGCGGTGGACGCGATCTATAATTTTTTAGTTGACAATATTTTTTATTTGAGATCTTTTAGAGGCTTAAATAATCATTTCAAGTAAACATAGTTTGAAATTCTATTTTTAAATTTTTTTAAACGATCTAGGATGTTGCATGGTGAATATTAAAGCTATATTTTTTAAGTACAATCTAGAACATTATCCGAGACCTTTAGAGGCTTAAATATTCATTTTAAGTTCTCAGCTTTTATTTTTTTAATTTTCAAACGTCCTTAGATCTTAACATGATCTATATCAAAGTTGTAGCTCTAAATGTAATAAAAAACTTTATAGTTGACAACTTTTTTTATCCAGAACCATTAGAGGCCTACATGTTCGTTTTCATATCTCAAAATTTAAAATTCAAAGTTTTTAAAATTTTCAAACGACCGTGTGCATTGACATGGTCTATACTAAAGTTATAGACTCAATGCGGTCTATAACTTTGTAGCTGAATTTTTTTTATTTGAGATCGTTTAGATGCCCAAATTGAATATTCAATTAATTATGGTATGACTAAAAATATCAAGGCATGTGGGGGCCCGCATGCCATATCGCCAAATCCACCATCGAAACCACTCTGAGCTATTTTAGGAGAGTAATTTGTCATGTTTTGAAGGCTAAGGAGGCAAGTTATCTAGTATTCGAGTACGAGGGTGTTTTTTTTTAAATTCAACAACAAGTTCAAGACGGTAAATGGGATTTTACTCTATTTAAATCGACACGGTCGACACCCTATGTGTTATATCTTGTTGGATAGTGGCTTACAACTTATACCTTCGGAATGAAAGTAAAGGTGAAGGTCACTATGCAATAGAAATAAGTGGATCCAAGGTTAGCAATTGAGAACTAGAGCAAGATGTAATTATAACTATTATAAAGCCGAGGCAGACGAAGCTTTGTGAGGGGTCCTGAGGATGTCAAATGCCGATAATGTTGCATTAGACATAACAGTAATATTGCACTATCTCATGTCATGTACAGTGTCTGAGGGCGGTATCTATAGGAAATACAAAGGGGTAGAAATGGAATTACAAGTCTACCTGCACAACTACTATATTCTAGGTATATTCATGGGTATTTTGGAAATTTCACCGAAATAGGGGCAATGTATTTATTTTCGTGGTCACCTTCTTATGGTTGCGATCATCGCTACGGCATGCTGGGCCTCACTTGATAGTTCACATCTTCCTCTAATCCCTCTGTGTTGGCTTAGCCTCATGGTCTCGGCCTTGGTTCAACCTCTGCCCCACTTGCGTCTCCTTCGGCTTGTCCAAGGGTACCTTTGGGTTTCGTGAGCTTGTTTCCGCTACCTTCGGAAAAACATCAAGTTCCATGCAAAATAGAATGCATCATGCTTCCTCAGCCAACCATGAATTTTACCTTTGAGGTGTGGGTGTGTTGGGTGGGGGTGGGGAGCTTTCTGGTGTTCCCCTAAATCTAGAAAATACGATAGTTTATTTACAACTTGAAAAACAATTAATATGAGGCGGTTAACAAATTAAAAGTTAAGAGACATGATGTAAACAAAGTTAAGCGACAAGATGGTACTCCCTTTGTTTCAAATTATAGGACATTTTGAATTTTCTTGATACATGGCTTTTGCTATGCACTTAGGCCAGTCCTAGTGGGGTTTCATGGATATTAAATAAGCTAACATGTCATATTATAGATGAAGAGAGATGACGAAAGTTTCATAGGATGAAATGAGTTTCATGGAGATGAAACTTGTTTATTTTCAATTCACAATGACTAGCCTTAGATACTCCCTCCGTTCGTGAATAAATCAATTTCTAAAGTTATCTGGAGTCAAATATTTTCAAGTTTGTTCGAATTTATAAAAAGGAGCGCCAAAATTTATGACACTAAATTAGTATAGTTAGATACATCATAAACTATATTTACATAATATGCTTATTTGGTATCATAAATATCTTTACCTTTTTTCTACAAATTCAATCAAACATAAAAAGGTAGGACTTAGAATAGCTCTAGGAATTGATTTATTCAGAGATAAGGGAGTATATACTATGTGTAGATACATATTAAAAACAATATATCTAGAAAAGTCTAAACGTCTTATAATTTGAAATTGAGAGATTAGTTTATTTACAACTCGAAAATACTAGAAGTAGTCCACAAAAGTAGAGACAAAAATCTCTGAGAAATTTGGAAATAATAACGTTTAGAGTTGTGTAGAGGACTAACACCATCGAACTGGTGAACTTAATGAGAAACATATGAAAAAACCCCTAAAAGGTGAACAGATATCACATTGGAGATATGATAATCCATCATGATATTAATCATATAATCCGAAAAATAAACAACTTCTTGAACATTGTGTGGTCAATAGGATGGCAAAAGGCAGAAATAAATATATCTTTCGTAGTTCCATCCATTCAAAATAAACATTATATTTCTGATTTCTCACCCACTGTATATTCATTTGTTCTTCGTTCCAGCGGCAGAAGATCAAGCAGTACTAGCAGAAAATGCACACTACGTCGAAACGGTCCTGGCAATCTTACGGTTCAATGCGTGCCGGCAAACGCAAGCAGCCTCAAACACCAAAGCCTACCTGGCACTCTCCAAGAACTCGTCATTCACAAGATGGACCAGCTGGAACCACAAAGGAAGTAACAATGATCTTCAGAGCATGTTGATCCCTGATGAAGGCACCCCACAGAGAATGCTCAAGAGCATCCTGCTCGGTGCCCCTTGCAGCAGTCACCGGAGTTACAGAGGAGAGGCTGTCCAGTCACCTGAGCCGAGGGACGACGGCGAAGGCACGAGCCAGTCTCGGAGAGGTCCGGTGCCTGTGCCGGTTCAGGCAGAGCTGAGTGCCAGCCATGTTCTCAAGGAGCGGCGGCGGAGGGAGAAGCTCAACGAGAGGTTCCTCATGCTTCGGTCCTTGGTGCCGTTCGTCACAAAGGTGCGAATGAGAAGCATTGCAAGTTCGTTTACAGTCGTGTTACAGCCTACAGCCTACAGCCTACAGCAAGAAACTGTTTTTTTTTTCTCCTGTTCGCAGATGGACAGGGCCTCGATCCTGGGCGACACGATCGAGTATGTGAAGCAGCTGCGGAGACGCATCCAGGAGCTCGAGTCACGAGCTCGGCTGGTTGATAGCAACCCAAAGATGATGGCGCAGCCTCCTCCAGGCAGCCTCAACGGACACGAAGAGAGGTCATCACACCAGCGGCGGTTACCTCGCGCGCGCAGGCACAGGCACAGCAGGGGAAGCGAGCGGCAGCTGCTGCGACACCACCAGCAGCGTCGGGGAGCCTCGGGCGGGGGCGGGCGACGTCACGGAGGTGCAGGTGTCCATCATCGGGAGTGACGCGCTGCTGGAGCTCCGGTGCCCGCACAGGGAGGGGCTCCTCCTCCGGGTCATGCAGGCGCTGCACCAGGACCTCCGGCTGGAGGTCACCTCCGTCCAGGCCTCGTCAACCGGCGACGTGCTACTTGCAGAGTTGCGCGCAAAGGTTAGCGCCATAGAAGTATCATGGAAATTGCCTTCTTTTTTTTTCTTTGGGTGACAGATTTGATTGCAGTGTGCTTCTGAATCCTGAAGTGTTCTTGGATTGTCTGGTGCAGGTGATGGAGGTGCATGGCAGGAGGAGCAGCATCACTGAAGTGAAGAGAGCAATTCATCTAATCGTTTCATCAGACTGAAAATGTGAGGAGAATTTGATGTGTGGGGGAAAAAACTGAAAAATTTCTAGAATAGTATAAATGTACCACGGTCTCGGTCTATACATATACATATATTGACAATACATGGGCCAGGCCCAATTCACACACGTATATACATACTCCGTATTACATATAGCCCAACACTCCCCCTCCAAGATGGATAATAAATATCTATCGTGGCCTACATGCTATATTACACTCTATAAATTCTTAGTAAAACAATCTGCTATTTGACATCTTGAGTTAACGTGACTGGACTGAAGACCATCATCTATCTCCTTTTATAATAAAGGAGCGATCGATCTCCACATATTATGTTGATAGCCGATTTGTTATAACACGAAAGCATCAATGTGTCACCGGAATCAGGGATAGATAGTGGTAGTGGAGTTTGCTTGGTAGATATCGGTCGCCGGCGAGCCGCCTGACGCTGCCGTCGCCACGGCCACTGGCCGGGTTCAGATTACAGAGATGATCAAACTCAAGTTCGCTATCTCTCGTCTTCCCCTTTTACAAGGCAATCGATGCCTGGCCCGTTACATGGGCTGCCATGGGCCGTCGGTCTTCATTTCCATTCAGGGCCAATTACTCTCTGGTTGGGCTTCAGCACTCTTCTGACCCGCCCGCACTCGTCAGCTCTGAGGTCTTCTGTTTCAGTGTTTTCTTCTCCAGCTTCAGCAGGTGCCACCCTTCCATGGTTTGTGACACCCTCCCCTCCTTCAGAAACGGCTTGTCCCCAAGCCAGTGCTCGTGGATAGGCTTGACGAAGAGCATCCTCATCTTCCCAGGTGGACAGTGGAACTGGAAGATGGGACCATTGCACTAGAACTTGTGGCATGGTGTGTGTTGGATAGCGATGCAGTCTCCGATCCAAGATCTGAACAGGGACCTGAAGCTGTGAATGAGGGTCAGGGAGTTCAGTATGTACCTGATGATGTGGAGGAACAGCCTGTTTCAATTGTGAAACATGAAATACAGGGTGGATGGAGCTAGTGGCAGGTAAGGCCAATCTGTAAGCCACAGAGCCAATCTTCTCGGTGATGATATAAGGTCCAAAATATCGAAATGCAAGCTTGCTTGATGATCTGGTTGCAATAGACGTTTGTACATATGGCTGAAGCTTCACATAAATAGAATCACCAACAGAGAATTCTCGAAATGTTCTCTTTTGATCTGCATGATGTTTCATTTTGTTCTGAGCCCAAAGTAGATGCTGATGAACAAGCTGCTGCATAAGATCTCTTTCATTAAGCCATTGATGCAGATCAATATTTTTGCAAGTATCAGCCACATAAATACCCATTTGAGTAGGATCATGACCATAGAGCACCTTGAATGGAGTTTGACCCAGTGATGAATGGTAAGATGTGTTATACCAGAATTCATCAAATGACAGCCAAGAAGACCATTTAGTTGGACAAGAGTGAACAAAGCATCTTAAGTAGGTTTCTAGGCATTGATTGACGCTTTCCGTTTGGCCATCGGTTTGGGGTGGTAAGCACTACTCATCAACAACTCTATCTTGAGCAGCTTAAAGAGTTCCTTCCAAACCTGGCTGGTGAATATTTTGTCCCTATCTGAGATAAGAGCTTTGGGTCACCCATGCAATTTATAAATTTGTGTGATATAAAGCAGAGCTACTTGAATTGCTATGTAGGAGTGAGATAGAGGGACAAAGTGGGCATAATTTGAAAATTTGTCAACCACTACCAAAATGCTACTGTATTTGTGGGACATGGGTAATCCTTCAATAAAGTCAAGAGAAACAGTTTGCCAAGCTCCACTGGGAATAGGTAGGGGTGCTAATAACCTAGATAAGCTGCTCTATCATATTTTGCTTGCTGATAGATAGAACATTGAGACACATATTGTTGGACAGCTTGTTTAAGTTGTGGCCAAGCAAACAACTGTTTAATTCGATGGTAAGTTGCTTCAATACCTGAATGTCCACCAGCAGGACTAGAGTGGAGAGCTTGCAAGATTTGTTGTTGAATGCTCTGTGAGGTTCCCACCCAAATTCTGGCCTTATAATATACAATGCCTTCCTTTAATGAAAAATGACCAGATGGAGACTTGATAGCCAACTCTTGCAGTAACTGACAGGATTTGGGGTCTTGAGCATAAGAAGCTTGAAGATCAGCAAGCCAAGTTGGTTGGATAACAGATACTGCAACTAGGTCTTCTATGTCAGCATGGGAAGTTCTGGATAATGCATCAGCCACTTTGTTTTCCTTACCTTTCTTGTGAACAATTTGATAATTAAGCCCCAACAATTTTGTCAGTGCCTTGTGTTGCCAAGGAGTGTGCAGTCTTTGGTCATCCAAATGGATGAGACTCTTCTCATCAGTCTTGATAGTGAACTCAGACTGCAATAGGTAAGGTCTCCAATAGTCCACTGCTAAAAGAATGGCCATGCACTCCTTTTCATAGGTTGATAAACCTTGTGCCTTGGGACCCAGAGCCTTGCTGACAAATGCTATTGGATGTCCATCCTGTTGGAGTACAACACCAATTCCTTTATCTGAAGCATCAGTTTCAATAGTGAAGGCTTTGGTGAAATTTGGTAGAGCAAGAACTGGACTGGTAATTAAGGCCTTTTTGAGGGTTTCAAAAGAATTTTGATGGTATGAGTCCAAACATACAACTCCCCCTTTCTGAGCAGGTTGGTTAAGGGTTTGGAAAGAAGACCAAAATGCCTCACAAATTTCCTATAATAACCTGCCATTCCAAGAAAGCTTCTAAGGTATTTACAACAGTTTGGAGGTGTCCAATCTGCTATAATTTGAACCTTTCTTGGATGAGTTGCCACACCAGCAGAACTGATAACATAACCCAGATAGTGTAGTTGTTGCTTAGCAAATGAACACTTGGTCAATTTGACATAGAATTGGTGTTGTTGAAGGAGCTAAAAAACTTGGGTGATGTGGGATAGATGTTCTTTCTAAGTCTTGCTGTAGATAAGCATATCATCTATAAATACTACCACAAATACCCTCAAGAATGGAGCCAGGAGATCATTCATAATCCCCTAAAATGTTGCTGGCCCTCCAGTGACTCCATAAGGCATAACACAATACTCATAATGGCCATTGTGAGTTTGAAATGCTATTTTATATTCTTCATGCTTTGCCATTCCTATTTGGTGGAATCCTAAGCACATATCCAATGATGTGAACCATGAAGCTCCATTCAGTTCATCCAGTAATTCATCAATGATAGGCAGTGGGTATTTGTTCTTCACAGTGAGTGCATTTAATTTTCTATAGCACAAAGTCTCTAGTCGCCTGTCTTCTTTTTGACAAGAAGTGCTGCGAAGCAAATGGACTAGAACTAGGTTGTATCAGCCCTTTTTGCAGCAACTCCTTGATCTATCTTTCTATCTCGTCCTTTTGAAAGGGATTGTATCTATATGGTCTCAACCTAAAAGGTTGTGCTCCAGGTATGAGAGGTATAGTGTGATCTCCACTCCTGGATGTGGGAAGTTGTGGCAAGGATTGAAAAATGGTATGGAATTAGCTGATGATAGTTTGGATGGCAGGTGGAATGGTGGGTGGTGGTGGTGGTGCTGTCAGAGCTATCTGATGTAGTGTCTTCAATAGAGTTGAACTGGATGATGTACAAGATAGGCTCTCTTTTCTACATAGCCTGGAGCTGTTGAGTAGTGATAGGTGGCCCCATGATGGCTGTGCTTAGAGATCCAGTCCATTCTGAGTATAACGTCATAGCATCCCAAAGGAAGGACCTTAAATGTGCTCTGAAATGTATGTCCCTGTAAACTCCAAAGCATATCAGGTATCTCATGTGAACAAAGAATTTCATTACCATTAGCCACCCTGACTTTAGCTATGTATTCCAGTGCCTTCCACCTAGGCAACCCAACAACAGTTTGCTGACTGACAAAACAATGAGAACTTCCAGAGTCCAGCAGCATATAGACCTCCTTGCCCTCCAGATAACCTCTAAATCTGATAGTTTGAGATCCTTCAGTACCCCTTAGTGCTTGAATAGATATTGTGATGAGATCATCACCAGAGTCCTGTTCATCACAATCAACAGCATGATTTTCAGAATGATCATCATAGAGGTACTGCCAAACTTCTTCCATGACTTGGAGTGAGACAGTCAGTGGACATTTGTGTCCAGGGCCCTACTTCTCACCACACTTGTAACACAATCCCTTGGATCTTCGATAGGACTTGAGAGTTGACAGTTTATCATCAGGGCTTGTATCTTGACAGATCTGCCTGCTTCTTTACTTCAGTATTGAGAGTCAACTGTCCTAGTGTATACATTGTTCTAGCCTTATTTGTATCACTATGCTTGTAAGAATCACCACAATACCTCTTGGAATGGTTCCATTTCTTCAGCTCTTTACTGGAAGAATCCAGCAGAGCTTCCTCCTACAAAAGGGCAAGGGAACTAGCAGTATCCAGGCATTCAGGCCTATGAACCATTATAATTGCACGTATTTCTTTCTTTAAACCATCTACAAAATGGTTGGTAATGACAGAGGAGCCTAAGCCCGGATCATGAACAAGCAGTTGGTGTAAGATGTCACTAAACTGCTCTATATACTCAGTAATAGAGGCACTCTTCTGTATGTTGAAAAAGGCTTTGAGAAGCCGGTTATGCTCAGCCTTATCAAAATGGAGGCAAACAACATGAACAAATTCGTGCTAGGACAAGGTCTCTATTGGGTTTTTCAGGGTATGAAACCAAAGCTTGGCAGGCTAAATTCATGGAAGCTATCTTAACCCATTTGCTAGGCTCAACAGAAAAGACATCAAAG